ACCAAAACTATCAACCTAGAATTATATATCTAGAAAAATTTATGTTTCAAGAATGAAAGGGTCTACAGCCATGCCACCCTGAACAAGCCGGATCCCGTCTGATCTAGGAAGCTAAGAAGGTTCGGGCCTGATTAGTACTTGGATGGGAGACCACCTAGGAAGACCAGGTGCTGCTGCCGTAAAAAATAAAAAATAAGGGATCGTAAGCTGACAAGGTCCTTGCAATCTGTGAGGTCAACCAAGGGTTGCCTCACCTAAATAAATAAAGTGTATATTCATCAACCTCTGAGTCTGGCCCACTATTCATAGTATTTCTTGTTTACCGACCGAGTTTTTATTTTCTTCCCCCAATGAGGAAGGCTGGCAGACTGGAAGCTGCTTCTCTAGGACGGTTATTTTAAATCCTTTGCTCTCTAAAGTCCTAAAGGCAGGGACTCTCTAGGGAGGTGCCACCACGCACTCTTGATGCCTGAGAGCTATCAAATGGGGCAATATCTGGAGAGTCAAAAATTTGGCAGCATTGTGTCCAGCATATTAAAAGTGCACAACTCCTTTAGGCTGGCAATTCCAATTTGTCAACCAGACCCATGTGTAAGATGTTCACTAAATTTGATTTTGCAAGATGAAAAAGTTCCGGAGATTAGTTGCACAACACTGAATATACTTAATGCTGCTAAACTGCAGACTTAAAAATGGCTAGAATGGCAAATTTTATGTTATGTGTATTTTACCACAATTAAAAATAGAAAGGAAAAAAGATGTTCATAGCAGAGTGGTTTACAAGAAAGAAACTGCAAAAGGCCAATCTGTCATCACTGGGGGATTAATTAAATAAATGACGGTTTACCCAAACAATTGAAAACAAATTTGATCAGAGGCATAGGCAAATTGTGGCCCCAGGCCTGATTTAGCACTTTTGTTTTTGTAAATAAAGTTTTACCCACACACAGCTACACCTATCATTTGCATATTGTCGTTGCATTCTAGTTACATTAGCAGAGGTGAGAGACCACGTGGCCCACGAGCCCAAAATACACACTATCCAACCCTTTAAGACCCAAGATCCAGAAAAATACTCAGAGAAATACGTGAGAGGTATCAAGGAGGAGGAGAAGATGGCTCCCAAACACAGCCACGCTGACAGTTAAATTTTGAAAGGAAAATTTAAAATAACGTATGTTTACCCGCATGTTTATAAATGCACTATTCGATGCTTATCTCTGGATGGTGAAAATTGGGATGAATTTTACTTTCTTCTTTTGACTTTTCTATGCTCTCCAAATTTTCTGTATTAAATAAATATAACTTCCCAACACTAGAAAAAAATGATAATTATGTCATAAGACGAAAGTTTTAGCCAATTCTACAATGGCAATCAAATGTATCAAATCAATGTTATACCTTAAACTTACAAAATGTTCTGTGTCAAATGTTATGTCGATTTTTCATCAAGGTAAACGAACAATAATTACCATTCTCACTGTCTTGGCCCTTAGAGGGAGCTTACGTTGACTCTCAGGCTCCTAACAGGTCACAGATCTGTGGTATTGACACCCCTCCCCTGCCAGTCTACAACACGGAGGGGAGGCGCAGGGAAGAAGTAGGGGTCAGGCCCCATGGGAATTCTCATGACAAGTCCAGAAAAGTTCCCCTCTTGCTAAAATTACCCTGAATACTCAGGAGGGTGGATCTGATTTTCAGCTAGGGTGAGGGGATGGGGGTTGCTCTAGGGGATCCTGCCAGGGAGGTGGAAATAGAAAATGTCTTGGGGTACTTGGAACTGATCTTGTTGGTTAGGTCTGTCAAGTGCTCCAAATCTCCACTGTGAGGGCAAAGTGACCGTTACCACTCAACCTATGCTCGCTGTCTTTCTAATCCTCGTGGGTGCTGTTATTGTTCCATGTTACAGCTGGGGAAACTGAGGCTCAGCGGGTCAGTGACTCTCCTCCCAAGGATCCACAGCCGGCATAAGGTGAAGCCAGGATTTGAACCCAGAAGTGTCTGACTCTCCAGCTCCATGAACTTTCTACTACCTGGGTTGTCCCATCAGGAATAATTATTCTGGCTGGTTTATCAATAACTCAGTCTGTCAAACAACTGACAAACACCCACACGTCAGTCATCTCCCAGCTGCACACAACCCTGTGAGGGGCTCATGAGTGATGATCATCCCCTCTCTCAGGTGGGAACCTGGAGTCTCAACAAGGAGAGCTGCAACCTAGTAGTGCTCAAACTTCAGGGATGACGCTTATGTTCTCTAAAGACACCTCCCTCCAGTTCCCATCACCTGCCATGTCAAGGGGCCAGGGAGACCTATCAGAAAGAGAAAACCAGGAGGGCTGCTTGGAGGAGGCGTCAGGCCTGAGAGCAAACCTGCCTCTCAGCATCAACTGCCTCTCCTACAAAATGGGCTCCCACCCAGTGTGGACAGATCAGCAAGCCTTGTAAGACAGGTACAGTGGCTGGCTTCTGTTTATTCTCTATAAAGTCACTGGCCCAGGTGGGCCCTCACACAATATTCTCTTTATCTGGAAGCAGAACTCACATTCCAGCTTCTCAGCAGTAGGCACCTGGCTTCCAGCTGCCCTAGGCTACTCATTAACCAGGAGTGGGCCTTGAGAAGGGGCTGGGCCCTGGAGTCTGCTCCCAGCCTGGGGGAGGAAGAGGAGAGGGCAGGCAGTGCTGGATGATGTGGGCACCAGTGTCAGATCAATCAGGGTTCAAATCCTTCTTAGCTGTGTGACCTTGGGGGGAGTCAGTTAATCTCTCTGAGCCTGGACTTCCCCATCTGTATAAGGGAGATAATATACTCACAGAGCTACTTTGAGGACTGACTGCATGAGTCTGTGCCTCATGAGAGTGCCCAGCAGTGCCAGATTCAGAGTAAGCACTCGATAAATATATCTGTCATCTTTACGAAAAGAACAACAGCATCTAAGTCATAAGAGTATTGTGAGACAAAATGTGCTAGTATACGTTAAACCTCTTGGTGCCATATTGAGCGTGTCGTTGAAGAGTTCAATGTTAGCAAGTATTCTTACTGACATTTATAACATTTATGGTGATGACTCCTGAGGTGACATGGAGTGGAGCATCTCTATGCCCACTTGACGGCTGCTCAGGGGGGTATCCTGAGCCACCAGGGATATGCCTGCCTGATTTTCCACATTTGATGTCACAGCATGAAGAACAAGTCTCCACGGGGTCAATGGACTGTAATAGAGCACCCAGGGGGGGTCTTGATGTCAAGGATAGAATCGGGTCCATCACTGACAGCAGCAGGCCTAGAGTCTTTGGGCCTTTTCTCCTAATCCTGGCTTCCTAGGTGACCCCAAATCAACCAAACTCCAACCCTAGACCAGTGGAATTTTGGTCAGGGGAACTATTAACCTCCCAGAGAGAAATGACTGCCCAGGAAGCCAGGGTTTTCCAATTCCAGAGCAGAATGTACTAATGGGTCATGAAATCAACTTAGAAGGTCAGGGCTATCATTTTTATACAAGAGAGACCAGAAGAGAACAGAGCCCGGCAGATAGTGAGGACATGAGTTATTATTTTTGAAATTCTGATTTTAATTTCATGCATGTGTATGTATGTGAGCACAGGCAGTATCCTGTCATACAATGTATTTCTTACTGTCACAGCTAAGAGACTTTGAAAGCCCCTCCAGTAAAGATGTTTTAAATCAAGGTGAAGAAGACATCTCATCTGCATCAGGTTCCTACCCCATTAAACCCCTTTTAAAAATGCTGTCATGATCCTGAACTGGGAGGAAGAAAAGCTTCTGTAAATATCGGGAGAAAATCAGCAAAAGCAAAATGTCATTAGGGTCTGTAAATTAGATAACAGAATTATGTCAATGTTAAATGTCCTGGGGTTGATAATTGCGTGTGCTTACATAAAGGAATAGAATGGCCTCACTCTTACGAAATACATGCTGAAGGGTTAGGAGTAAAGGGGCAACATGCCTGCAAAATCCCCAGTGATTCAGCAAAAAAAGGAGAATAGTAATATGACTATTTTTATAGCATAGAGAGAAAGAGATGAAGTAAATATAGCACATGTTTAACAATGGGAAAATCTAAGTGGAGGGTATACGGGAGTTCACTGTAATATTCTTGCAACTTTTCTGAAGGTTTTCAATTTTTTAAAAATAAAAAGTTTAATAAAGAAACAATTGAAATAGTAGCCCCGGCTTCTGGAGCATTCCTGTCTGTGCTGGGAGCCAAGCAGCTCCCAGCTGAATCCGACCCCAATCCTCAAAATCCACTCAGCGAGGCCCCCATCACTGCTTGGTGGCAAAGCCAGAATGGGGGCCAGGCCAAGACTTCAAAATTAGTACTTTGCCCATTTGCAGGACTGCTTTCCTGAAATAGGCAGGTACAGGTGGCAAACCCAGGCCATGTACCCGCCACCCAGAGATGACGTGTGGAAAAGGTCCTGGGGCTTGAGTTCTGTCTCCTCTTCTTAGAGCCTGGAGGAGACACCAAGCTCCTGAATGCCCCATCAGGTCACTACCCCATCACTGAGACCCAAGGCCATGGAGAGGTCAATGCCACTTACGTTTGGAGGCTCCTCAGAAAGGGCTGTTGTTCTGGACCTATTGCAACGAGAGGAAACAAAGAAAGAAGGATCTGATCAGGTTGACTGTACAAAGGACTTGGAGTCTTCTTCCAGGTATGACTACCCAACTCATACACGTAGGGAGGGGCCCCATCAATACCCAGTGGAGAAAGGAAAACTGGGTGCTCAGACACTCATGCACACACTCACGTACTCACACAAAGACACACATGCATGCACACACAGACGCTCATGCCCTGGCTCACACATCCCTCTCCTGGATGCAGTGTCCCTGAAACTGTCCTCAGGAAGCCTGCACTGGTGGCCCAGCCCATGGTCGGGATGGGGAAGGCTCTTCTTGCTGGCTAAGAATGGGTAAGCTGCCCCCCAAAAGTCCACACTCCTGTGAGCTCTCCACCAGACTAGTCATGAGCCTCGGTCTGTAACTGACTGTTCCCTACAAGCAAGGGGACACACCAGGCTAGATACATGGGCTGTGGGAGCCCCTGGGTACCCCAGATTTTTTGAGAATACTCATCAACTGTTTAGAGGCTCTGAGAATTGTTTGCCAAGGAAATCTGTTAAACTTTGCCAAGCTGAGCAGTCCCAAAATGTGATTGACCCCAGAAGCCTTTTTTTTTTTTTTTTTTTTTTTAATAGAACACCTTCTGTTCTTTGGAACTCAGTTTGGGAAATAATGCAAGTGGAAGCAGACTACTTCTGCCTCTCATTTCACCAGCAGAGCTGCGCTGGAAGGCTCTCCTGGTTTCCTGGAATATAAAAATGCAGAAAATCAGGAAATGGTTCCTTAACAACTAAGATCTTACATTTTGATAAGTTATATGGATTAGCAAAGAAGTGGAAGGGCAGAGAAAGGAGCTAGGCTGGGTGCTTCTCATTCCTCATAGTGTCTGCAGCCCTGCCTTTGTGGCCTCTTCCTCAGACTCAGAAATGCCCCAGCAGTCTAGCGAGCTCCCTGTCCTCAAATTAGACAACCTCATTGTTATGTTAAGGCTTCCACACTCAACAAGTTGACATTGCTGCCCACCATAGCTGAGGCATTATGGCATAGGAACATTCGGTCAATAATTTATTGAGCACCTACTATGTGCTAGGCACTGTCCTAGGCACTGAGAACGCAGCAGTGAAGACAGCTGAGAGGACCCTGCTCTCCCGGAGCCTGGAACCCCATGGTAAAGACCAACATGTGACAAATGCCATGGAGCCTTTATTTTCTGGGTGGACACATGGCTCTGTAAACACTAGGGGAGATTAGCAATGTCTGTGACAGAGGTGAGCAGTGGAAGTGGTAACGTGTACCCTGCTATCTAAAACTATACCAAGGGAAGACAGACAAAGGGAAAGATGACGGTAGCATGTTCAATGCACGATAACAAGCACAATGCTAAGGGAACCAGAGAAAGGAGAATATAATTCTATCAGGGGCGAGGCCTTGCATGAGGCTAGCCAGCCCAGTTCAAGGAAGAGGATAAGAATGGCACTAAGCCCCTGAGGGTCTAGCGAGCTGGCACCCAGGCCCCTTCTGGGGACAGCCTGCACCTATTCCATCAGGAGACCCACACATATCCTCTCTGTCTATGGGGTTCTGGGTGGGCTGACCCCATCTCCTACTTCCAGGGGTGGGCACGTGAGCCAGGCCTAGTCAGTCAGAGGGGCTGTCACAATTGGCTCAAAGACAGGCACATGACCAAGCCTGGACAGTGTGAATGATGACAGGAGTTATGCTAAAAATATTGGGGGAAAAGCTTTCTATGCTGAGATGGCTATTCTAAGATGGCTATTCTGTGTATACCTTGTGCAGCTGGGGGTACGCCAAGGAAAATGGAGCCAACAGAGGAGAGACATGGCACCCAGAAATGGAGAGAAAAAACGTCCCAATGACAGCCCTCAGCACCTGGATCCAGCTATGCCTGAAGTATGACCCTGGGGCTTTTTGGTCAGAGTCAGTAAATATTCTTTTTAATTTTTTTTTTTAAGTTAGTTTGAACTGATTTCTGCTGCTTGCAACCTCCAAAATCCAGACCTACGCCCTACTTCAAACATGCTGTGTAATTTTATGCATGCCTCCTACTCTGACACTGAGGCCATCAGAAAAGTGGGGTGCACACAAAATGACATCTGAGGTCCTCCTGCAGCCCTGGTACTCTACCAGGAGCCTATTGCAAAGGTTAGCACTGATGCACCCTCGCCAAGACAGAGAAATCAGCCCTTCTCAAAGTTAAGCCTGGAAGACTTATTAAAACACACAGAGCTGGGCCCACCCCAGGGTCTGAGTCAGCAATCTAACAAGCTCCCAAATGATGCCAGACTGCACATCCAGGACCCAGACTCTAAATCTGTTCTACTCTTCCCAGTTGCTTGAGGCAGGTACCCGAAGCAAAATAAAGCTCTAGCCAGGCAGGAGACCATGGCCACTTGGTCCTTAACGCAGACCCCCAATTAAGGAAAGTGCCTGAGTGATTCAAGGATGAGCCAACCTTTAAAGAACTAAAGCACCAGGTCCCAGCTTACGCCCATCCCATTGCCCACCCTTCTAGCCAGCCTCCACCCTGGGATTTAACTAAATTTTGGGGAGGCTATCAGAATGACAGAGCCTCCTGGGGCTCCGGCAGGCCCACGCTGGTCTTCCAGGAGCTGTGAACATCCCCCAATGGCTCTCTGCACCAGGCAACATGCCAGCACCAAATCCCACTGCGGGCCTAGGCCTGACACACTGCCTTGGCCTTGCTGTCAGCACCGCCTGGCGGGCCCTGGGCTCTCCCTGATTTACATCTGACTTGGCTGCCTTAAAAAGCCTCCTGTGGCTTTTGGAACGGGGACACTGCTCAGTAGAAAAGGGCTTCCCCACCACTATCCTTTCCAAGGCGGCACTGGCCCAGAGGGTCTGGCCTGGCTCAATAGCCTCTCAGCTGTGTGACTTGGGGCAAATTACCTGAGACTTCAGCTTTTCCTGTGCAAACTAGAAATAATGGTGTCTTTTGCGATGATAAGAGAGATTATGCTCACTAGGCCCTGGGCTTGGCCCACAAAGTTCAGCAGAGGCCCCGAAGCTGTGACTTATCTCCTTTACTCAGAGTGGTCCCCAGACCAGCAGCACTAGCACTGCATAACCTGGCAGCCAGACAGAAATGCAGAATCTCAGGCCCCACCTTAGACCTCCTGCACAGAAAGGGGCATTTTAACAAGATCCCAGGTGTGGTCTACAGCTTCCAAGTCTGAAGGGCCATGGTATATGTTATTATTATTGTGGTTGTAGCACCCCAAGACCAAGCCAAGATGTACCCCCAACCCTCAGACCTGGGGGACAGCAGGCAGAGGTCAGAGGTAATGAAATGTTGAGAGAGAAGAAAAACTCTCTGGTGTCTTTCAGCCTCTCCTGAGCCCCTTGGCTCAGGAGAGGGGAAGGGACACAGGCCAGGTGTGTCCTACAATAGACTTAGTGAATAGGTACTGATCACAGGACTCAGGCAAGGTAACAAAATCTACTGAAAACATTCCAGGCCTCAGATTTGGGGTTTTGGCAGAGTCTGACTGCCTATGTTCCTCTCCACAGGAGGCTGAACCTTTTGCGTTCCAGGAGGAAAATTAAATTACCCTCTTTGTGGAGCGTGGAGCTCACCACCCGGAACTCACAGCAGAGGTTGGCAGAGAGGCTGCCTTGGAAGATTCGTGCCCCAGACTAGTGTCGGGGAGCCCTGCAAGCCCACATGGAGCGGTGTGGAGACCGCCTAGATTTCTCCAGCTCCAGCCAGCAATGACCCCGTGAAAGTGCAAAGGGTCCCCACTCAAAGACTGTAACTAGAAAGGCTACTGAGCTGAAGCTCCTGAATCACCTCCCCTTTGCCCATTGTCAGTCCTATTGAATGAACAGAGCAAGAAGCTTCCACTGTCCAGGATCTTCCTGCCATACAGGGCGGGAGGGTGGGGAATGGTGTGGGGCACACTGGAGGGGAGGGGCTGCTAGGTGAGACAGCGCTAAGGTCAGAGAAACTAGATGACCGGATGCAAATGCGAAAAGATCCCATGCTGAAAAATGTTCGCTCGAATTTATAAAACTGTATGGACAACACAAAACACACCTGTGGTCCAAAACAGCCCCTGGAAGACCATTTTGTGGGGACTGGTACCGTTTTTTTCATGTCTGGGGCATGATCCTTTAGAACAACCTACACCTTCCACTGGTGAGAAGTGGAAGACAGAAAAGGATTCTGCTCAGTAGCAGTGGAGAGAGGCTGCCAGGTCTGGGGACATTTCTTTCTCTTTCTCTTTCTCTCTTTCCTTCCCTTCCTCGCTCTTTTTTTTTTTTTTAAAGGTTTGTTTTAATATATATTCTACAGATGACAGGGAAAAATCCACCTTGGAACAATGCTTTTTACTAAAAGCCCATGGCCACAGCTCCGCTCAGAGCATCTCGGAACTACAGGCCCCAAATCAAGAGGCTTCTTTCAGAGAAGGGCTAAGATCTTAAAAACCAGCAGTACAACAATTGTATCCTTAAAGGGGGCTCACTGGAACAGCACCCCACTCAGTGATGATATGCACTTCTCAACAGAGAAAAGGAAGGGTCTTTTTCCCAAATACTATGTTTCCTTACAGGTTAGGACCGAAGGCCAGAGAAAGGATAGGTAGGACTCGTCTAGATCACACAGCAAAGCCAGCAGCCCAGGGCACCCAAACCCTGAGGTCCAGGTGCCCCTGTGATAGTTTATTAAATTATTTTGTGCTCAGCTTCATCAGGACATGATTTTGTCTGTCTTGGTCACTTGCCACATCTCCAAAGGCCTAGAACAAATAAATATTGGTTGGATGGCTGGATGGCGATGGGTGAATTTAACTTCCAAGCCTGGATTGATTCAGATGTTCAAACTATAGGCTCTCATTTCGGAGTAGAGAAAATCAGAGGGCTTTTTGTGTGTGTGTGCTGAGCACCTACTGTGCACCAGGCCCTATTCTGGAGCATCCCCCTCCCCCATGTGCCCACAGTCAGGTGGGTGGACTAAAGGCAAGACCACAGAG